GTCTGAGACTGAGGTCAATCTGAGACTGAGGTCGGTCTGAGGTCAGTCTGACACTGAGGTCGGTCTGAGGTCAGTCTGAGACTGAGGTCGGTCTGAGGTCAGTCTGAGGTCAGTCTGACACTGAGGTCGGTCTGAGGTCAGTCTGAGACTGAGGTTGGTCTGAGGTCAGTTTGGGGTCAGTCTGAGGTCAGTCTGAGACTGAGGTCGGTCTGAGGTCAGTTTGGGGTCAGTCTGAGACTGAGGTCTGTCTGAGGACAATCTGGCTCTTCAGCGTGACTGACGCAGGTTTTTGTTCTTCCGATACGTGTCGTTCATCATGCCTTCTCCCCGTCCTCTCAGCTGCAGAACGCCGTGGCGGCCGCCGCTCTGGTCAGCAGGCCAGGTAAGCATGCAGAGCGTCAGGAATCAAAGGTCAGCAGCAGCAGAGGCAGCAGCAGCGTGAGGAAACGGAGCAGCAGCGCAGCAGGTAGATTCTGCTCAGAACTCACTCAACCAGCGCTCTACTACTGCTAGTTATATAGATTCAGTTAGTGCTTTGAATTAACTTTTATTTTTATTCTTTGTTTTTGTTTTACTTTTCATTTTAGTTACAATATGTAGTAATTTTGTGATGTGTTTTTGTCATTTTTATCTTTTTTATTGCTATTTAGGTTTACTTTTTAAGTTTGTTCAGTTTTAGTTTTTATTTAAAAATGTTACATTAACAACTAACTTAAATTCTTTATTCGGTTCTCATTTAAATTTGAGTTGTTTTTTTTTTTTAATGTAATTTTGTTGTTTTTATTAGTTTTCATATATATCTATATCTTTACCTTATTTTTATTTCAGTTTTAGTTTATTTCCAGTTAGTCATTTTAGTGCTTCAGCTTAAACCAAAGGAAAAAATTAGAAAAGTTGTCTTGGTAACTAACTGAAATGTTTTTATTCATATTTTGAATTAGCTTTTATTTGTATATTTTACCTTTCATTTTAATTTTTGTTGTATTTATTTATCTAGAAAGTTTTTTGTCATTTTCATTAGATTTATGGGTTTCTTTAATTATTATTTCTTTTTAGTCATTTTAGTGCTTCAACTTGAAGTAAATGAAAATGAGGACTAAAATAAGTTCAAGTTATTGATCTACTATTTATATTTTTTTATTATAACAAACTGACTACAAACACCACGGGAGACAGGAAGTGACATAAAAGTCCAAGACAAGTCACAGAGAATGTCACAAAAACAAGAGCGAGCTGATTTGTGAGGAGAGCAATCACGGTTATTTTCTGAAACCAAAATAAAACCGAGCACCTCAAAATTGCAAAAAAAAAAACCAATATCATTCAAAAAGGTCTCTTCAGTATAACAGATAGATAAAATAATGTTGAGTAAAAGTAAAAAGTCAAAGTCTTCTTATCAAATAAACTGCTGCAGAAAAAGCTAGTCCATGTAAAATGTAATGTGTGACTACAAATGTAGTGGAGTAAAGAGTAAACGCTGCTAATGTCTTTGGTACGCCATAAAACTACAAAGTATCCGAAAAGATACTTAAGTAAAGTAATTAGTTACATTTACTCAAATACTTTACACCTCTGCTCTGAATCATGTGACTTCAGTTATCTCCATGCAGTGCAGTTCTTTACTGTAGTAAACAACGACTGAACGCTCACTTTAACGTGTGTGTGTGTGTGTGTGTGTGTGTGTGAGTGTGTGAGTCACACTCTCTCACACACACACACACACACACACACACACACACACACACACACACACACATTCATCTGCTGTCTCTCTCTCTCTCTCTCTCTCTCTCTCTCTCTCTGTGTGATTGGGGGTCACTGAGCTTCAGATGTTTCCAGAATTTAATTGCCCTTTTTTGTATCTTTATGATTAGAGGATATTTGTCTAATTCCTAATTCTCTCTCTCTCTCTCTCAGGCGTGACCATGGCCTATGTGAACCCCAGTCTGTCGGTCCAGAAGCCGGTGGAGCGTCACAGGGAGTATCTGCTGGACATGATCTCGTCTCGGTCCGTCTCACAGACCGCAAACTCCTGGAAGTAGAACCAGGTTCTGGATTCATCTGGTTTCTGCAGGTTTCTTCTCTCAAGGGCTCTGATCATCACTTCACTTCTTACCAAAAACACCAGAGACGCTTTGTGTGCTTCTGTTACGGCTTAGTTGTATTTCGTTACGTAAGTGTGTGTGTATGTGTGTTTGACGACGTTTGTTCTTCCACAAACATTTTATTTTTCAGCTCATAGATTCAGAGTCACTCTAAATTAATTTGTTTTCTTTTGAACCATGTCTGAGTATGGAGTCTGTTGAAGTTTTATACGTTTGTCAATATTTTTTTGCAGTCACTGTAATTATATTGTTTGTATTTCCATGCGGCTGATTCTCGATATGTAGCATTTCTGAAGTAATTCCACTCATGATTGGTTTAGAAGATCATAAGTATGCTCAGATTGTTATGAGCTGCAGATTATTGGTGCAGAGCATCAGTGTTTATAATGAGGATGATGATGATGATGATGATGAAGGCAGATTGTTCTCATGGCTCTGGTTTAAAACTGATCTTGTTCATGTTTCCGCCCATCCAACAGTCCAGGTTTGTTTTGTTGTGCGATGATGATGATGATGATGATGATGATGATGTCACAACGTCGTGTTTCCATGGTTACGGACAGATGCAGCAGCATGCGTTTGCTTCCTGCAACATGTACAAAGTTACAGTTTGTTAGATTTATTTGTTCCTGTAATAAAACGTTTTAACCCTTTCATTCTGACTGGACCTCTTCATTCACTTCCAGTGTTTCATATTATGTGTTTTAATCATAATTAGTGTTTTGTGGCTTTAGCTCATCTGCAGGACAAAAATAAGAGCGTCTCTCACTTCAAGAGCCTCCAAAAATAGGTGAAATATTTACAGTTTAAGTGTGGTTTACAAACATAGTTTTTCTCATCAGAATAATAGTCAACAGACAGAAAACAAACACATTTCCGCCAGGTTTTTAGGAGTAAAATGTTGTATAAATCAGTGTGAATGATATAAAAACAAACCGGATAAATGTGTAAAGTTTGCACTTTGCAAGATAAAAATACTCTTTAAAGACATGGTTTGGGGTTGAAAATTAAAATTACATAAATAACAAAATTAGGACTGGGTGATATGGAAACAAATCAAGAAAGTAGTCCTGACATTATATGTGTTCAAGAAACATGGCTTAAACCGCAGTTACATTTTTTTAATTCATGGATACATTACAGTCAGAAGAGATAGATGTAAAGGAAATGGTGGTGGGGTAGCAACATTTATTAAACAGGATATTGGGTATAGAACAGTTGAGGTAAATGGGGAGCAAGAGGTTGTAGTGGTTGAAATATGGGAAGGAGTACAGAGTATTAGAATAATTAACGTTTACAATCCATGTGATAGATTATGCAAGGATAAGCTAGAAAATATTGGAGGAAATGGAAGTCATAAAGTGGTGTGGTGTGGTGATTTTAATGCACACAGCACATTGTGGGGGAGTACTAACACAGATTACAATGGATTGATCATAGAAGACATGCTAGATTGGGGAGGATTAGTGTGTATCAATGATGGAAGCTATACAAGAGTTGATTTGTCACAAGGAAAATATTCAGTTTTAGACTTGACACTAGTCTCTGAAAGTTTAGCTGGAAAATGTGAATTAATAATAACAGCATTAACATTGAATCTTTGTAAACTGATGGAGCGTATGGTAATGAGCAGATTGGTGCATGTCATTGAGAAGAAAACCTTTTCTCCCCATACCAGAGTAGTTTCCGGAAAGGGCGAAACACAATGGACTCTGTGCTCTGCTTGGAAGCAGAAATAAGAAAGGCACAAGTAAACAAGGAAGTGTTAGCAGGAGTATTTTTCAATGTTGAAAAAGCATACGACATGATGTGGAAAGAGGAAAGAATGGAAATAAAAGGAAGAATGTATAATTGGATCAAGAATTTCTTGTGTGAAAGAACTATACAAGTTAGAGTGGGTTCTGCATTTTCTCAGATACAGTGGGTACGGAAAGTATTCAGACCCCCTTAAATTTTTCACTCTTTGTTATATTGCAGCCATTTGCTAAA